TTTGCCTGCGCGTGAATGATAAAACAGAGCGAAAAGAGATCCCCCCCCCACCCCGGATGATAAGTCATATTTCCAGCAGCCATTTTTAACCTTTTAATCACCTCAGGTACGTGCTTGATACGGCATAACCGAAACAAACAGTGACCCTGAGCTTTTTCTTTTTCTTTTTTGCCTGCTCGATGAATAATTGCAAGCACCCAATTCCCACCACCACCCCGACGCTGTGGCATTAATATTCCTTTCCCCACTTGCCCATTGGCACAGTCTAATTGAAATGCAGAGAGAAGAAAAGTCTGTCATTTAAACTGAGCTCAGGATGCAGGCAGCCAGGAAAACAAACCTCTTTTTTTTTTTTTTGCCCAGATTGCACAATTTCTGTTGAATTGTCTTTTAAATCACGTTGCCCTCCTTTCTAATATGCAGTCCTGCTTTGATAGTGTGTTAGCAGCTGGACTGCTGCTAAGATTTATTGCCATTGATTGTAGGTTTTCCAGTGCAAGTGGATCATGACAAGCTTGAGAATTAAACATACAGGTTTAAATTTAGTTTATCCTCATTTTTCACTGTTAACCTGAAAATAATTAAATACTACAAGCAATAACATTGCAGCCTTTTTCCTTTTTCTACACCAATCCCTGTCTATTCCCCTCGCCTTTTAAACTGTGAACTGCAGGAAACAGAGCTTTCACTTATCCTCTTAACGTCACAGGCCTACCTGCTTACTGCCTTTCTGAGTGAAGTGTTCAGCTTGCTTCTGAACCGTTACCACTTTTAATACGAGTATGTGAAGTTGTATGCCAAAACGTGAGGGGGGGGGGATCACTTTTTTCAGTTAACTACAGAATCAACTAGGAAATTTGGGGATTCTTTCCGACTTCCCTTCCTGCTCTTTTCCTTTGTTTCCTACTTCCTAATTGCTGCTGCTTGCAGCTGGATACCCTCCTGTGTTCCTTGTCTTCTAGTAGCTTAAGGACTCCGCAGCAAAGCATTATACCCAAAAGAAAGAAGAAAAGCGCTCAGGCTGTCAAAATGATCCCTCGCTTCCAGCTTTGAGCTTTTCTGCATAACTTGCAGTAAGACCTGGAAGAGGGAGGGAACAAGCTGGATGTCTGTGTTATAAAATGACCAGTAAAATAGCTAGCCCAAACTGCACAATAAGGACACAAATGCAAAAATTGGAATCCGAAGAACACTCATTCAGCAGCCATCTGATCCCAGAAACGCCTAAGATACTAGGACCTCGTCTTTCCTTTGCAGCCTTGAAAATGCCCCCTGCTCACAATTCTTCATTGTCTAATCAGTTAAACACCTACAGGCAACCCAAAATCTTCTGTGGATCTGCCTGTAAGTCCCCACATGTTAGGAATAAGAATGGCAAAACCTGACTGTAAGTGACTCTGCAGAATTAACAACTGATACTTAAAGCAGTATCACCCCTCACAGTAAAGAAAACGAGTTTTGACTATCTATCCTAAGATAGGGTGGCTTCACAAACATCAATCTGCAGAAAGAAATTCATTAAAAGTAAAGCCTTAGTAATTTAGCAGAGTGAATTTTTCTCATGGATATTTGTGTCATTCCTTCCCAACAGTAACTTCAATTCACCATGATACCTAAACTAGATTCTAATCTTTGTGTATAAATTGCATCAAAAAATAGAAAAGCACATTTTTAAGGAAAGCAGTCATGGTGGCTTCTTGTTGCTCTGATAGCATAATGCCATTCTTCGAAAACCACGTGGGATAGGTATGTATTTCTGATGAGCCTGTTCTCAAAGGCTTGCCTCAGAAAAATGTGCTGGGTTTTTGGCTCTAATCACAGTTATTTACCTGTGATATTCTTGAGATTTACCATAGCTACATGCATTGAAGTCACGCTTCAGATAAACCATATACCTTGAAGTATCAGAAATTTGAGAATAACTCCGCATTCACATTCTCAATGTGCACAGCCCTATGTGGCATCCCAAATCACAGGGAAGCTGAACATGGGGAAAAATTACCAAAGAAGTGTATGAGAGATCAGAAGCAATGTAATTACTACCACAGAGAAGGTTCTTTATAATAGTCCCCCATGCTTATAACCCACACTGCTGATGAACTGAAAAGCAGTTGAGGATATGTTTGTGGTATTGTTGGTTTTTTATTGTTTTGTTGCGTTACGTGCATGAATGACTCAGGTTTCCCACATCCTAGGTATGTTAGCTATTGTTGGCCAGAAACAGTGCACTTGAGCCTCCTCAGGTGTACAGTCAACAGGGAACTCTCTCTTCTATTCTGTGTTACTATTTGCTGAGAGGTATTGAATGCTATTATTCATTACTGAATTTCAGTTTGCTCCAAGACGTGTGCAGCATCCAACACATCACCTGGGTTGTGAGACTCTCCCGAGTCCTGACGTGCCCTGGAAGGCAGGGAGTTGTGCCACTGATTTGCACGGGAGTTGAATCTGTCCATTAGAAGATAGCAGGTCTATATATGATTGTTTTCAGAGTAGAAGTAAATTGTTTTACTGAAAAGGTTGTATTTCTTTTCTGCTTTATTTGCTGAAATATGTAACTATAATTTAATCCCTATTTAAAAAAAAAAATTAAATATCAAAAAAGAACCTTGCAATCCTATTATTCCCTCTTGCCAAGGATCTCAAAGCTTTGCACATGCTGATAAATGATGTTTCACAGGACCTTTGTGAGGTTGGAAAGACTTCCCCTGCGAGGACAAACTGAACAGCAGGAAAGGTAGGTGACATTTCATAAGTACTTCTTCCAGTTTACAGGTAATAGAATCACAGGAGAGGTTAAGCCCAGACCAGTCATTTTCAGGATTGCAAAATACTAAAATGAATGTTTCTTTTAACATTTTGCTTAAAAGAATCATTCAGATGATAAAGTTACTCCATCCTCCAGACAGAAAAAATTGCATGAAAACAATACTTCAGATTTGTACCATTAGGGAGCTGGCAGTAAACATTTTCTGTCATGGGCATAGTCAAGTAATGTCAGCAGTACTTAACAGAGTATGCTGATCTGGGGTGTGTTCTGACAAATACTAGTTCCAGACAAAATTTTTGGCAGTTTCTGGTAGTCATCATGTATTTTGTACTGCTTGAGAATAATCTGTATTCTCATATCTAGGCCAGCAGCACTCTTTGGCTGTAAGAAAAAACAACAGCAATCACTGGGATTCAGTAAAGTGATGCTTTTATATGAAAAATGAAGTGATATGTCAGACTTTTTTCTATGCAGTATAACAACAGCAGACTTTTTTCAGTATGAGGTATGCTTTGTATAAATGTATTCATCTCTGAAAAGGCCATCTGTCAATCACTATGGTATTCACTATTGGAAAGATTATTTTATTTAGCCTTGTAAAATTTATTTTTGTTTTAATTAAATAGTTAGGCATTTATGTATAAAATCAAAAGCTTGAAGTATGATACCAAGATACAGTGGCTCTATAATATAAACAATTGTTGTTCCATTCTTTTTATGTGAATAATGACAAAATAAGAAGTTGAGAAGGGGGGATTAGGTTTTAGCTGGATCGCTTCCCTGGACTGATTCATCACACAGCCACATCAATGCTGATCTGAGCCAAAAAAGAGGGAAGGGCTAGCTCCTTTCAGGAACGGCTCCAAGTTAAGCCACGTTACATTGGCTGTGGAAATAAGATTTCTCTAAGAAAGTAAGATCTTCTTAAGAAATGCTAACTAGGCTCCAGGGGACTCAGGTGTCCAA